GCCCGCCGCGGATCGCGAACCCGTTCAGATCGATCTCGACGGACTCGGCGCTCGCGAGGATCGCGAAACGGCCCGGCCCGGACGCGTCCAGATCACCCGTCAAGTGGTACCGGCCCGACGACGAGATCACGTGCACCGCGTCGGCGCTCCCCGGGAGCGACTCCAATGGCGTGCTCGGCGCGAAAGAATCCAGCGTCTGCATCGACGGCGCCACCGGACCCGGCGGCGGGTTCAGATCACCCGCAAAGCCGTCACAGCACACCAACAGCGCACACACAAGCGACACCCTCGGTTTCATCATGGCCCTCTCCTCTCGCGCCAAGCCAGCCCCCGGCCCGCCCGAGTCTACCCGCTCCCCAAAGATTTGCGAGCACTTTCTCCCAAGCCACGCCCCACATCATCCCAACGCCCAACGACCCATGACCCATGACCCATGACCCATTGGCCATTGCCCCAACTGGCCAACCCCCCTCCCCCCTCTTTACAGTCCCCCCATGCTCGCCGCCCTCGGCCAACGCCTCTGCGCCCTCTTCCGAGCCACCGCGCCCGACCCCTTCGTCATCGCCGTCCTCCTCACCATCCTCACCTTCATCCTCGCGCTCACCACCACCGACACCACGCCGAGCCAACTCGTCGACGGCTGGGCGTCCGACGAGGGCGTCTGGAAGTTCCTCGGCTTCTCGATGCAGATGTGCCTCATCCTCGTCACCGGCCACGCCCTCGCGTCCAGCCCGCCCGTCGCCAGACTCATCGAACGCCTCGCGCACCTCCCGCGCACCGCGCCGCAGGCCGCCGCGATCATCGCGTTCGTCGCCGCCCTCCTCGGACTCCTCAACTGGGGCCTCGGCCTCGTCGGCGGCGCACTCATCGCCCGCGACGTCGGCCGAAACCTCGAAAAACGGAACATCCCCGCGCACTACCCCCTCCTCGCCGCGAGCGGCTACGCCGGCTTCCTCGTCTGGCACGGCGGCTTCTCCGGCACCGCCCCGCTGAAAGTGTCAACCGAATCCGAAATCGCCGACATCCTCACCGGCGTCACCCTCGACCCCATCCCCCTCAACCAGACCATCCTCTCCCCCCTCAACCTCGTCGTCACCGGCGGCCTCGTCCTCATCGCGCCCCTCGTCATGGCCCTCCTCACCCCGAAGAAGCGCGAGCACATGCACCCCGCGAGCGAGTTCGCGCCCCTCGAGCAGCGCGCACCCGAACCCGAATCGCAACGCAAACCCCTCATCCCCCGCATCCTCGAGGACACGCCGGTCATCTCCCTGCTCCTCGTCGCCCTCATCGCCTGGTGGGCCTGGCGGTATTACGTCCCCGCCTCCGGCCGCTCCGGCGTTTACAACCTCACCCCCAACACCGTCAACCTCACCATGCTCATGCTCGGCCTCCTCCTCCACGGCACCCCCGCGCGATACGTCCGCGCCGTCGAAGACGCGGCCACCGGCTGCGCCGGCATCATCCTCCAGTTCCCCCTCTACGCCGGCATCATGGGCATGATGAACACCAGCGGCCTCACCGCGAACATCGCGAGCGCTGTCTCCGAGATCGCGAACGAGACCACCCTCCCCGTCCTCACCTTCGCGAGCGCCGGCGTCCTCAACATCTTCGTGCCATCCGGCGGAGGCCAGTGGGGCGTCCAGGGCCCCATCGCCATCCGCTCCGCCCTCGACGCCGGCGTCGACCTCCCCAAAATCGTCATGTCCGTCGCCTACGGCGACCAGCTCACCAACATGCTCCAACCCTTCTGGGCCCTCCCCCTCCTCGCCATCACCGGCGCGAAGGCGAGAGACATCGTCGGCTACACAGCACTGCTGATGGTGATTGCGGCGGGGTGGATCGTGGGTTGCCTGCTGCTGCTGTAGCAACCGCGACCGTGAGGGAGCGGACTACGCCAAGGCCCACCATCCAAGCCCCGCTCACACCAAGCCAACCGGAAGCGTCAGCGCCCGGGCAGCTCGATAGCAACCGCGAGTGGAAACGAGCGGATCCGCTGAACCGCTCGCGCACCAACTCAAGCCCGCCGAAACACATCGGCGCGAGTCGACGCTTGCGAAAACAGCCCGATCGCCAGGACGCGGGCACGCGGATCATCATCCGCCGATATATCATCGCGAGCATCGAAATGTGTGCCATGGGAAAGGAACGTGCTCGATGAAAACAACGACCATCGCATTGATCGGATCGCTCGTCGGGATGACGTCGTGCGCTTCAAGCACGCAACCCCAAGCATCGAATGAAAAACACACGAGCGAACCATCGCCGGTCTTTATCAGCACGATCGTGACGGAAACCGACCTGTCGAAGCACTCGGCGGGTTCGACAACCCAGACCACCGTGTCCCTCGGGACGGACGCCCTGAAACTCGATCAATACGACGCGATCTACAATCAGCTTCGTGTCTTTGAGATCCGGGACGAGCACGACAGAACACTGCTCCTCGACCAGACCGATTCAAAGAACAGACTCGCGCCGCAGAGTGTCGTCATCGACTTGGTGAGCAACAGGCGTCCGGCGCCCCGAGGCGTGTTCACGGCGAACAAAGTGTCCGGAGGCAAACCGCCGGCCGAATTGGTCATCGTCGGCGAGCTGCGCATCGCTTCGCCGGAAGCACGAATCGAAAAGTTCTACACCTTCAACGAGATGGGAAAAGGGGTCTCAGTCTCGGACAACTTCCATATCGCGTACGAGAGAGATGAGCGAAACAACCTCCAGACGCTGACATTCGATTACGACGCGTCATCATTCGATCTGCGATTCCTCCCGATCAGCATCGCGCTGACCGATGAAAACGGGCGTGAACTCACTCGCCCGGGCGCAACGGTCAATTTTCAGGGAAAGACTGTGATGCGATGGGAATGGCGAACGGCGATCGAAGCCCGCAGCCCACACCAGCGTGAAGCGGCTTACGGAATCCGAATGGTCTGCGCATCGCGGGTGAACTGGGAGCGTATCCCGTTCACCATCAAATACAGCGAAGACGCCTCAATGCACCGGATGCCGACCGAGACCACCCTGCATGATCCGGACGCGGCGACCGAGGAAATGCGCTAAGCCCCACCCCCCACATACTCAAACCCCATGCAATACCCCCCCCGCCAGATCGGATAACTCAACTCCACCCGGAACCCCACAAACTCACCCGGGTCCCACCCCAGCCTCTCGAACATGAACCCCGCCAGCTCCTTCTGCCGCGCGTAGCTCTTGCACTCGGCCCGATCGAGACCACGACCCAGCAGCTCCAGCTTCGGCTGCGACGGGAACCGCGTCGCCCACCGGTCGCTCGGCGGCGTCGCCAGGTTCGGATACCACAGCAGCGCGTCCACCGACGGCCGGTACAGCCGCTCCATATCGCGGTGCAGGAACACGTCGAACACCTTCCGACGCGTCGGCACGTTCACCAGCGCCCACACCTCCCGGAACGTCGGCGCCCCCGTCTCCTCGTCGCGCAGCGGGTGCACCGCGCGCAGCGCCGTCACGATGTCGAACGTCTCCCCCTCGCCCACCGACGACGGGTCGATCACCTGCACCACATCATCACCCGACCCACGCGTCGTGATCGTCGGCAGCGGCTTCGTCGTGAACGGCTCCAGGATCGCCCGGGGCGTGCTCCCGCGCAGCGGCGACTCGTCAAGCGACGTCGGCCCCGTCTCGCTCGCCGTCTCGATCTCCTCACGCCCCGAGCTGAGCACGATCGGCATCCCGCTCGCCACCAGCCGGTTCCCGATGAACCCCGCCGCGAGCACGCGGTGCAGCTTGTCCGGATCCGACTCGTCCGCGCGGAAGATGTACAAGCTCGTCATCACCTCCGCGAGACGGCCCGTCACGTTCGACGCCGCCATCGTCAGCTGCTCGCGCGCCTTCTCCGCGAACGCCTCGTCATCGATCGACGACGCGTCCACCGCGCCGATCCGCGCGATCAGCCGCGCGTGGCTCCCCGCCAGGTCCGTGATCAGCTCGTCGAACGCCCGCACCGACGCGCCGGCAAGCTCCAGCTCCGCCCGCTCGAACCCCGTCTCCCCCAGCGCCCCGAGCAGCTGCTCCAGCCCCTTCACCCCCGGCATCTTGACGAGCGTCTCCAAACTCGCCGGACCATCCGACAGCGCGAGCGACACCCGCTGGCACGTGTTCCGCGCGAGCCCGAGGTGCCGCGCCATCCCCGACCCGCCCCGCGCGTGCTCCGGCAACTTCTTGTGCAGCTTGAGCAGATCCCCGAACAGCCGCGACGCCACCCGCTTCGCCCGCGCCCGCTCGTCGGCGGTCAGGGGCTGGACGCCGGGCACGGTCACGGGCGAGGGGATCGACATCCCCCGGATCGTACCGGAATGGCGCGAAAAGCTCGTCATCGGCCTCCAAATCGCCCTCGGGACAGTTAGAATCTGATTTCAAATCAGAACAACCCCATCATACCCCACACCCCGCCGATCGCAAAGAATTTCCGCGATTCCGCTACGCTCCGACCATGGCCGGACTCTTCGACGGAACACCACTCGAGCGACCCGTCACCTGCGAACGATGCGCGAAACCACTCGCCGAGTGCGCCTGCCCGCGCGACGCCACCGGCGCCGTCCGCGAGCCGAAAGACCAGCACCCGCGCGTCCGACGCGAAAAACGACGAGGCAAGTTCGTCACCGTCATCGCCGACCTCGACCCGCACGCCACCGACCTCAAGGCCATGGCCCAATCCCTCCGCAAAGCCCACGGCGTCGGCGGCACCGTCACCAAAGACAACGAGATCGAACTGCAAGGCGACCTCCGCGACAAAGTCGTCGATCACCTCAACGCGCAGGGCTACAAAGCAAAGCCGGCTGGCGGTTGAATCAGTAGCAACCGCGCCCGTCAGGAAGCGGACTACGTCACCACCAACCAAGCGCGCCCGCCCACACACTGACTACCGCACCCGTCAGGAAGTGGGCTGCCCCGACCGCGCAACAAAAGAGCCCTCCACAAGGAGGGCTCTGCATTCCACTGATGCCTGATGGCTGGTGCCTGGTGCCTTCTTACAGACACGCCTTCTTCAGCGCCTCAGCCTTATCCACCCGCTCCCACGTGAAGCACGTCGCCGTCTGCGTCTTGCCCTGCTGATCTTTGTACGTCACCTCCATCGGCTCGCGACCGAAGTGCCCGTGGAACGCCGTCGGCGTGTAGATCGGTTTCCGCAGGTCGAGCGACGCGATGATGCCCTTCGGCGTCAGCTCGAAGTGCTCGCGCACCGCCGCGGAGATCTTCAGCGGGTCGCACTTCTCCGTGCCCTGGCAGTCGATGTGCACGCTCGTCGGCTCCGCCACGCCGATCGCGTAGCTCAGCTGCACCTCGCACTTCTCCGCGAGGCCCGCCGCGACGATGTTCTTCGCGATGTACCGCGCCATGTACGCCGCGGAGCGGTCGACCTTCGTCGGGTCCTTGCCCGAGAACGCCCCGCCGCCGTGCCGGCCCATCCCGCCGTAGGTGTCCACGATGATCTTGCGGCCGGTGAGCCCGACGTCGCCGTGCGGCCCGCCCAGCTCGAAGACGCCCGTCGGGTTGACGTGCACGATGATCTCGTCGTTCCACCACGCGTCGCCCAGCGTCGGCTTGATGATCTTCTCGATCACCTCTTTGTGCAATTCTTTCTGCTTCGCCTCGCTCGACCACTCCGGCCCGTGCTGCGTGGAGAGCACCACGGTGTGCACGCGCACCGGCTTGTCGTTCGCGTCGTACTCGAGCGTCACCTGGCTCTTCGCGTCCGGGCGCAGCGCGGGGATGCCCCCCGCCTCGCGCACCTCCGCGTGCTTCTCGACCAGGCGGTGGCTCAGGTACAGCGGCAGCGGCATGTAGCTCCCCGGCGCGAGCGACTCCGTCTCCTTGCACGCGTAACCGAACATGAGCCCCTGGTCGCCCGCCCCCTCGCGGTCCACGCCCTGCGCGATATCCGGGGACTGCGCCTTCAGCGAAACGAGCACCGCGCACGCCTCATGGTCGAACCGCATCGTCGACGACGTGTACCCGATCCGCTGGATCGTGTTCCGAACCACGTCCGGGATCTCCACGTACGCCTTCGTCGTCACCTCGCCCGCCACGACCGCCATGCCCGTCGAGACCATCGTCTCGCACGCCACGCGGCTCCCCGGGTCCTGCGCCAGCATCTCGTCCAGCACGGCATCCGAGATCTGATCGGCCACCTTGTCCGGGTGACCCATCGAGACGGATTCGGAAGTGAAAAAGTAGTTGGCCTTGGCCTTCGTCATCGGTTTGGCCTCGGCGGTGGTGCTCGTGTCAACTGCTGACATGCAAAGCGTCCCTTCGTTCAAGCGGTCAAAAGCGGTCTGATGCGTCAAGAAATCGAGCACCCAAGTGTAGCAGCACGCGTTCGGGAACTCAGGTCCCGGGCGACGGATACGGGCTATCTCGGAGATAGGCGGGGCGGGGGCGTGGGGCGGGGGGTTGAGGGAGTGAGGCCGGCAGTCGGCAATCGGCAAGTCGGCAAGTCGGGGAGGAGCGCGGCTTCGCCGCGACATGAGTTGGGCCCCTCACCCGGCTGCGTGCTGAAGGCAACGCAGCCACCCTCTCCCGCAAGGGGCGAGGGTGCAGAGGATCTTGAACTCCCCGGCACCCCACAACACCCGCGCCCACACTCCCCCGACTGCCGACTGCCGACTG